TTTATCAATCTCATATTCATGCTGTAATCGATACTTCGAAAACCTAGGCGATTCGCAAAGTGACCACCCCCACGAAGGAGTGAGGGGTTCCTCCTGAAAGACTTCTACGTTGCATCTTCTGTGTATTCTTTCGATATTGATCCGACTCAACAGGTCGAGCTCATGAGGAAGTCGACACACAGGATGTCGTGTTAAAAACTTACAGCGTTGCTCGAGAATCATATAAGCGCGATATGCGGTTGGACGGTTCTTATAGTTATAATTGTATAATTACGAAAATAATATTATATAATATGTTTGCGTCACGTACGCAGAGCGTCCCGGGACTAACGGCGAACCTGTCCCTTACAAAAACAAAAATTTAATGGTGATTAATTATTTTGAGTATGGAAAGCACTGAACTACAGTGTTTTAATACTCAAAATAAATAGTTAATCACTATCCACTTTCCAATATTAAATTCTATATCTTTCAGCCACGAGTTCTTTTGGACCAATTTGGAATCGCAGGATCTCGTTAGATCTTTGAAACGCCCAGTACTTGTTCACAATCTTTTTTTTACGATGAGGTATAAAGGTGACTACGAATTCTTAGAATGATAATTTTTTAATTCAAAATTCATATCCTTATAATTTTGATTCTGCGGAAACTTTAATTCTTGAGAGTTCAGGGGAACTCGCTGTCTCCGTAGCTTTAGCGTAATTTGGAAAAAAATTTTTTTAATCGAGTAGAGTCCAAAGTGTAAACACCTAGGACTCCGAGTCCCGCGAGAATGTCGAGTAATCGCTGCGTTCCTAGACCTTTGGACTCTTCGAATAAGACATATACTTTGCTTAATCTTAGAAACTTGCGAGTTTTAAGTCCTTAATTTGTGGAAACCCCTTTGAAACGTCACCCAATTTCCCAGATCTTTATGATTAAATTATATATTATACATATATATGCATACATATAAATATATTTTTAGGCGTAATATATATGATTATAACTATGCCTCACGTCGAGCTAAGAGACGCGACATTGCTTGTCGAAACGGTCAAGCGTTTCTGTGATTCCTAGACTCGGACAGTATAACGACGCTGAGGTTCTCACACTTTTACCAAAAAAAAAAAAAAAAAAAATTCACGCAGACGATAGCGCTCGTCCTACGTCGGGATTCGGCGGCCGCTGCCGGTTCCTAACGAGGTTTATTTTTCATTCAGAGCCATTCGAGTGCCAATCCGAGACTTCACTCTTTGAATGCTTGACAGAGAAGAAGCGATTTTTGAAATTATTGTCTAAATTGTAAAATCAGATGCGAGATATAGAGCCGGTTGTTCCTTCTTCGGATAAACTATGTGATAATTTACCTTCTGGATAAACAAAAGAGAACATAAGACAGTAAGACAATGAACCAAAGTTTTTTTGAAAGATAGGAACAATCCAGCCTTAGAGCAGTATTCATATAATCGATTCTTATATTTAAGACAGTTTTAAGTATCTTAAGATGTTATAAATCAATCACAAAATTGTATCAGTATCTTAAGATATTACTTAAGACAATCTTAAAATAAGTATAATATTATATTATGAACACTGATCATAAATATTTCACCTGATTATAACGGTTTTTTTTTCGGATTATCGCGTTTTTTTTTCATAGTTTGATTAGCTGCTTCAGTCGACTAAATTTTATCCTTTTGTCGCTGGCATGGTTTTTAATTATTCATAATGTTCATAAAACTCATTTACACATAGTTGCGCGGATATGTATATACATATAATTATCTTTTATCCTAATAAATAAATAAATAAAATGTTAGAGGTAAATAAATAAAATGCCAGCAAATTTGTGCAAAATATTATAGATTGGCGTCATCTGCCTCCGTTATTATAGCGTGGCCATATTATTAGACGCGCCGATAGATTCATCTTAAGTGCCCGAAAATAACAATTATTATTGTTTTTTGCATATTTAAAGTAGAATTTTCTTTTTTATTTGAACATATTTTCAATTAATAAAAACACAGTTTTTATTCATTAAATATTTATTTACTTTTATAAAAAGGATTATATATTTTTTTAATATTCGATTAAAACTACCATCGATGACTATGAGAGCTTTAAATAATAGTGTCATGTAATGTTGAAATTAAAGTTTACTATGACAAATGAACAAATAAAAGGATATTTTTGTAACAGAAACAAAAAATACTTTCCTTGTTGTCGTCTCTACAAACATTAACAGGTTCATATCTTTCATGGATATTGTAAGTGACAAGTGAATGATACATCCATTAAAATACATCTATTTTATAGACAACTATTATCTTTACATATTACAATCAGTTACATCAAAATAATTGGATCATAGTATAATATACATCCAAACCTTTGGAAATCAATAAATTGTAAAATATATGATGCGCGTCTAGTAATACAGCCAAAGACTATAAATTTTGCCAACAGAGCCTGCCGACATAATCTGACAGCAAATTGCCAGTAGAATTCGTCATTTTGCAACTATTTAAATATATTATTTAAATGGTAATCAAGTGAGACAAATTTTTTTCGATTTTTGCAGTCATCTGCCATTGTATCGTTAACTAAATTCTGTCACATTTCCGCTGGCATTCTGCCGACAAAATTTGTAGTGTACACTTTGTAAAATCTGTTTTTGATAGATTGACTGTGTAGATATATGTATGATGGAATTATATATAAACAATGGCACGCGTAAGTGAACAAAAATCTGCATTACAGAAAGTATTTCAGGGGTGAATCGAAATTCGCTAATTATAATTAGCGGCCATGAGACGAGTTATTATAATTATGATTAATAGTTTAAGTTTAACATGACGGGACAGGGATGCTATCGTCCGCGTCGCTTTAAGAAACAAATCCTACGCAACGAATCTTGAAAGTAGTCAATATCTAATCAATTCCGAGGATAGGATCAACTGTCTTAGGGAATAATTAAATGGAAAGGGACGAAGAGAGAAGGAAAGTATAACCCCAAGTAAAATTATAAACGGGAGGACGTTTTTCGACAGAGAACGATTAAGTATCTTCCATTATTAGAGATTCGACATCAACGGCGATGAGCGTTACGGACGAGTTTGCTATAAAATGTGAGGTGCGATTAATGCGAGAGGAAGTATGTACATACGTCACATGTATTTAATTATAATAGCGACGACAGAAACGTAGCATATTTTTAAAGGAAAGAAAATATACGAACGCCATGGCACTAAACGACCGATTAAATTGCGAATCCCGCGTTAAAAATAGGGCCCGGTCGATACTCTTTAAAAACTAGCGTTAATCACGAAGTTGATCGATCATTATTAACGAAGGACGGAACGCGCGTATGTAAAACTATTACGATGTCTATGAACCAACGCGTTTTCATGCCGAGAACAAATAAATTTGCAAGTCAGAAGGATTGTGTTTTGAATCTTTATTATTATTTCCTGATTTCCTCCTCCTTTCGTAATTCCTGCGTTATAGTTTACTATAACAACGAAAAGAAAGAAAAAAAATGAATAAAAAAAATTAAAGACTTAATGACGTAATAATTTGTAAAATAAATTTAACACTTTTTTATCGCTTACACAATTTATATATATATATATATATATATATATACATATATATATATACATGAACAGTTATACGTACAATATGTATGTATATTCCGGAATTTATAGAGATCTCTTCTTGCGAATGTTCTCAGGATGTTGAATAATTTTTCAATGAACAACGAGCGATGGAAAAGATGATAACCTTGATCTCTTTGAGGATCAAGGTCAATGTTAAATTTGAAATCATTTGAAAGTCATTTGAATGATAGAAATCACTTTTAATTTTTATATATTTACTTGTGAAAATGATGAAAATTAACCCGAACTATCGTGTAATAAAAATGCCACAAATCATCATATTACTAAGGATTAAACATATTAAAAAATCAATAACAAAATGTGTAGGGGACAAATTTATTTTTTTTTAATTTAAGAAAACAATATTATCATCTTTAAATATCTTCCTGCTAAAGCAGAATAGATCAAGCAAGAAAAACGTAAATCAAGGAAATTCTTAATAAAAATAATGTATATTTGTATTGTAATAAGCCGTATTTGTTTGTTTTATATCTACGTGCATGTCTTCGGTTTTCTTCTGTTCTTAAATTAAATACCTTCTATTCTGATATTATTTCTTTATTTAAAAACACTCTGCTCCTTTATCGAATTTATATTGTAATTTGAACAATAGTACGAAATATAACTGGTTAACAAGAATTTTTATATACTAGATGATTCTAGTAACTAAGCCAAATTACAGTTTTTTTCAAAAGATAGAAAAAAAATTATAGAGAAGATTCTATTTAGTATGATCTATCCGTAATATTTTTTCAAATAAATGCGCTTGTATGTTAATATAATAGTACTTAATAAAATTAATATAAAATATATAGCAAGTATGTAGTTCCGATTATCTTAATATTTTTTATATAGAATAATAAAAATGATTTACACTAAAAAATAGTATGAGTACATTTAAAAAGAGACATATAATTGAATCTTACTACCCTAGTTGAATCTTAGCTATCCTAGCTTAGTTACTGACAGAATCATTTAGTATATGTGTAAGTAGTTCGAATCGAGAATCATCAAGATATAATGCCAATAAGTATATTAGTTTTGTCTTTCGAAGTTTAAAAAGTCTTGCAATTTAATTGAAATGTACATAATAAACAGAACTTTTCTTCAAAAAATTATTCTATTTTTTTATATACTTCGATACATTGACTATTGATTATCCTATCTTCATTATTAATTATTTTGAATTTAAGCTTTTAAAGATTTTCCTTCCATTCATTTTGTCATATAAGTAAACATAGAATAAAAACATTTTAAAAATTTAATTTAAATACAAAAATATACAGAAAAACATCATAACGTAATTATTTACACATTATGTACAAGAAGAAAGTTCTATCTACATTTTATAATTAGAAAAACTTTAAATATTTGCACTGTGTAGCAAGTATACTAAAAGTATGATTATTTCTTGTATAGTTGTATATTTAATGTTTCTTTTTGACAAAATCAAATGCTAAATTAATTCGCTTCAGTGCTTAGCATTTCTATCTTTGCTGTTTCTTCTTGAATAAGTTTTTCAGATTCCTTGCTCACGTCTTGCTCATTAATATTATTTGCGGAAGCAGCTCTTGACCAAGAGCAACTTCTACGACCTGGTGATTTTGGCAAAGACCAAGAACTACTGCGTGATCTTCGTCTGGGTGATGTGGGTCGTGATTTCGCTCGTGTAACTTTGACAATAGAAGACGATCTCTTGCCACGCTTACTCCTGTAACGATTTCTACTGCGAGACTTGGAGCGACTTCTAGACCGTGAATTTCGTTTGGAAGGACGCGTTTTGGAACTTGACTTGGATCTACTGCATGATTTGTTATTCTTGTGCCTCGTCTTAGAGTTAGATCTTGATCTTGTTTTTCTTCTCGAGCAAGATCTACTTGTCGATTTTCGGCGACTACGCGATCTAGAGCGATTTCTAGATCGAGACTTCGGTCGACGCGATCGCGATTTTGATTTACGCGATTGTGATCTCGATCTACGCGATTGTGATCTCGATCTGCGCAATCGCGACCTTGATCTACGTGATCGTGATCTTGATCTATGTGATCTCGATCTGGATCTTGACTTCGACCTTTGATCACGACTCTTGGAACGCGAACCGCTGCGTCTTCTACTACGTGATCTGGAGATACTTCTAGATTTTCTTCTAGAACCCGATCTAGTCCTCGTTCTTGAGATAGATCTACTTGTTGATTTTTGGCGGTTACGTATTTTCGATTTTTGCTGCTTCGAATCTCGCTCGACCAGATGTGTAAAATATTCGTAATATTGTCCGTTATACAAATAAGGATTTGTTAGCGTATAATTCATCTCATATCGTGGAACAAATCCTCGACCTCTGCCCACGGGTAACATGGGGTGATGAAGTGACATCGTAGAATATCCTGGCGACCGCATCATCTGTCTTCTCGCATATCT